TCCTAATAATGCAAAGCTTTTTCCAGAAAAAAAAAGTATAGTACATGAAGAATGATGATAGAAGAATTGATGATAGAAGAATGATAATTAGAACTTTTCAGATTTAAAGGCTGTGCAAAGATCTTGCATTAGATCCACATGATATGGATTTAGATGACAGTGTCTGAGCTGTGAACTGGAGGCAAGGCCAGACGTCCCTGGTATTGACAGGAGTGTCTGTGCTCGTGACTGGACTTGGATAATCCACAGCAGGTAACAGGCAGTCTGCAAAACTGAGAGTGGCAAATGTATTGCCACTATTGGAACAAGAAGTGCAAGGAGCTGGGAAATACCTTTACTTACTTTGCAAATCTGAATTTGGAATGAACTGTCACTGGAATCATGGAGTAAATCAGGCTATCATGATCTGGTTTTGATCTTACATGTGATTTTATATCAAAAAACATGTTGGTACTAGTGGGAATGATGTCCCTTGTCCACTGATGTTTCAGTGTTTCAGAGCAGGCTCTAGTGCCCAATCCTCTGAGAGACAGGTATTACAAATAGGCTGCCACCAACGCCCAAAGCAGGTGCACAGAGGAAAGCACTAAAATTCCCAGGAGAAGAACTACAAGGGAAAGAAAATCTCATTTTCTGATTTCTATTTACAGCCTGAAATAGGCTGTCTGCTGGGAGCAGCAGTTCTTTGGGAAAACAGTGATTATGAGGACTATGGTTGTGTTTACTTCCCGGCAGTGTTGCAGCACACTACGTGTACTCAGGGTATTTTTAGTTGCAGATTCTGCCTGGCAGAAACTCACTGGAATTAATCACATGTAGCAAATTAAACAAAAGCAAAAAAGCTGGTGGGCTTAGGGGGACCTGCAGCAGCTGAACATTTTATTGCCCTTTACAAGCAAACTTCCTCAAATTGCAGGGAAGGGGAAGGGTAAAGGCAAAGGGCAGGGGTGGGTTTTGTAACCAGGATCAAACAACCTACATATTTATCTGCAGTTTGTAGACTGGAGCAGGCTGAGGAATCTGTCTATATTCATGTTATAGTCAGAATTAAAGCTCTTCTGCAGTGAAATTGTGGAATTTGGTCCACCAACACATCAGCTGTCCTCTGACAAGTCCTTTGCAGGTGATGAGCTGCTGTGTGCCCCTGCTCCAGTCCCAGGGAGGAGGGTGCTGCAGAAAGGGCCTTGATTTGAAGCTGTGTGAGGACACTGAGGGCACTTAGTGTGTTCAGCTGGAGCAGAGGAGACTGAGGGGAGACCTCAGTGCAGTTCCAATTCCTGGGCAGGGGCAGAGGAGGGGCAGGGACTGAGCTCTGCTCTGGGGGGACCAGGGACAGCAGCCAGGGAATGGCTGGAGCTGTGTCAGGGCAGGCTCAGGTTGGATCTCAGCAAAAGGTTCTTCCCCCAGAGGCTGGTTGGGCACTGCCCAGGCTCCCCAGGGCAGTGGGCACAGCCCCAAGGCTGCCAGAGCTCCAGGAGGGTTTGGCTGATCCTCTGGGGCACAGGGGGTGACTGTTGGGGATGGGCCTGTGCAGGGTCAGGGGTTGGACTGGATGATCCTTGTGGGTTCCTTCCAACTCAGCACATTCTGTGATTCTGTAAGGCACCCAGTGGTGAGCAGGACATTCACCAGCTGTGGAATGGCATTGCCATCCACAGACATTTCAAGTAGTCTGAATCTAATGTGGATTTGCAGCATGGGAGGAAAGGTATAAGAGTCAGGAACTGACGATGGTTTGGGCGCAGCTCAGATGGATGCAAATACCCTCACCCCATATCCTTGTGGGCTGGTGAAATGGCTCCTGAACATCACCTTCTGCAGCACATCCTTCTGTTTTTGAAGAGGTTGCCTAGAACATTCTTGCAGAAATACACCTTGTTTCCATTGTTGCCTTTGGTGGACATGGAAGTGTATCAGTCCTGGTAACTTTCTCTCCAAAACCACAGAAATAGTAAAATTAATCTCTGGTCAATGATTAGTGTTAAGTTATAAGGAGCTAACTCAGCTCAGCCCAGAACTAAGCCCAGAACTTACAGTAGAATTATGGCAATTAGCATTTGTGGGAAGAACACATCACTGCTTTAAATGAAAACTATTCTGCCATTAGCTCAAAGTAGCTTGTAAAAGCTTTCACTATGACTAAGATCTGCAGTAATGTTGGAGATCATTCACCCAAAGATTGTGCTGTAATGCCTATTTATGGCTTTAGCATTTTAAGGTTTTTGTGAAGTAAAGAAGTAGGGATGAAGTGGATTCCCTCGCATCTTTATGCCTTGGGAAGACAGCACGTGCCTGCTCAGGAATTAAACTAGGAACTGCATATTGAATTGAGAATACACATGTAAGGAGTTAAGGAGATCTGAATGCTGAACTCACATCCACCACTCCAGAGGCATAAACAGAGCATGCTACAGTCACTCTCTGTCTTGAGCAGAAGACAACACTCACTGCTGGCATCCCACTGCAGCATTCCAGAGCCTCTCACAGGGTGGCTGCCTACCTCCCAGGAGTGGGGAAAGAGAGACAAAAGGTGGTCTTAGGTGAGAGATGTCCTAAATGTGTTTTGTATTCTTCCAAGAGGGAAATAAATCAGTGATTGTTTTATTACTGTGAACTGAAAGATGGGCTGGTGGAGGTGCAGCTTTCACAAGGCTCCACAACCCAAAGATGCACCGAGTTAAGACCCATGTGTCTTTTCTGGAAAGATGCAAAAAGGATTACGAAGGTAATATCCTTCCTCGGGCAGGTTTTGGTTGGGTTTTTTTTCTGGCAAGAGAGATCTTTTCTAATAAATAACTGTTCTTTCGTATGAGCCAGCCATTGTCAGTGTCCAGAGGACACAAAATAGATCCTATCTGCCCAAAACAGCTCACAGACATCAACTATCATTTTGTTTTCTTTACTGGGTAAAAGGAGGAAAATGGCTTTGAAATTAGATGTTGAACCCCTTCCAGAATTGCAATATAAGATACCAAATCAATCATTCTTCACACAGTTACCTCCTACTCTACAAGCTCCTACTACCACAAAAATTGGTTGTTGCCAACTGAGCTGAGTGAATAATTTGCAGTTTCATATTTGTTAGAGGAATTTTTCCTTTTCCTCTTTTCGTTATTTGTCCACAAGCAGATTGATTTCCTTTTAACATTTCTTTTCCAGACACATGTGTTGTAATCACTCTGCAAGTAACTCCTGCCATAAATCATTTGGGAGCGCTTTGTTGGGAGAAGTCTTCAAACATTAGTCCCAGTTCCATTCCCTGTACATATGAACTTGCATGATGTGTCTGTTTCTGTGAACAAAACATCCAAAGAGCTGGTTTTGAGTATTCTCCCCGAGAACAATCCTGCTTCTGAACACAGAAAATTCATGCAGAAATCACATTTCACTGAACATTATTTAAGACTTGGGGACACACGCTCACAGAGATGCCTGCAGTTCACGTGCATCTGTAAATTTCCATTCTAACTAGAAGATCAGCTTTCCAACCCTACAGAGAACATTATTTTACCACTTTGTGAGTCAAGTCTGCTCCTCGCCAGAGCTTTTGTCTCATCCCGTCATTACAATTTCTGTCTCATAAAACATCCCTTGTGAGAGATGAGGCTTTCAATGGCAGATGAAGTGGTTGGGTTCCAAATTATGACTGAAATGATGCACAATTTCACCATTTAAAAATTACCTCATTCCCAGAAATATTGGCAGGATTCTCCTGGTTATTGTTACACTTGAATGAAAAACAAGGGTGTATCTAAACCCAAGCTGAAGAGTCCGACCTGGACCGTGCTGGAGTCAGTGCAAAGCTCTCATTTCTCCATTTTTTTAGGTGGAGGAAACTGCCCTTCTCAGACTGTAAAAGACTGTCTTTTAAGATAAAAGTTTAAAAGAATGATTGCACTGTTCAGGAGGATTCAGGGGTTGTTATCATGTGCCCTCTCACAAAGAAAAGCATTGGAGTGACTCTGACAACATGGAAAAGGAGGTAAAAGTCAACTCAGGCACCAAGTGCCATCGTACTCCAGAGTTTGAATTTCAATCCCAAGTCTCACAGTTGGCCTGAAATGTTTGCTTTGAAGGCATTTGTAAAATACAGGCCTTGCCTCTGGGTGGTGTGCAGGGGAAACGCTCTGCTGGTATTTCAGCTACTGTAAATGGCTGCTGCAGCTGCCAGCCCAGAACTCTGTGATGGCTGTAGGAAAATGGAAATGGAAAAGTCATGAAAATCATGGATTACGATGCTTGTGACCATAAATGGGACATGGATGGGCATCTCTTCCATTGTCTCTTGCTGTCCACTATGAAAACAGGAAACCTTGAAAAACAGTTAAAAATAATAATAAAAAAAAAGAAATCCACATAGATATACTGAGAGCTGCCAGTTAAAACCCAACTAACGTTTTTTAAAATATGAATTTTTGCAAAAGGAAGTTTTATTTTGCTAACTTGTTCTGAAATGATTTTTAAACCTGTCAGTGCAGAAAAGACTTTGTGCACCGTGTTCATGTCCTTAACCAGCACCATCTGAGCCAAAGTGAAGTTTTAACTCTCAGCGTTCACAAACAACTCCTCGGATAACGTAGTTTGTGAGAGAAACAAGTTGTTGATGTTAAGCATCAAAGTTCCCTGAACCCAACTTTCAAACAAGCAGTTTGAGGCTTGTTCCCCAGCCTGGATGCTGGATCCAGCCCAGCCACAGGAGCTCCCGCAGGAGTCACAGCTGCCCTCCCAACATCTGCAGAACCCAGACGAGCCGTGAGAGCATTGGCTGTAGCACAGAGTAAAATCACTGTGAGACGTTCAAATGGGATAATTATATCATGTTAATTTGCATCTCATTTTGGTGATGTAGTGGTATGATGCCAACACAGTAACTGGAAATGAATACAGGGCAGCTCGTGCCCTGTCATGTCACACTGCTGGCCCTTCAGAGCCAGGAGTTCTTAACACCGTAGTCATAAACCAAGCCCCTCAAGACAAGAAAATTATTATGAAGCTGAACAACAATAATTTACACTTAGAAAAGCTCCCTTCTTTTTCTTCCACCTGGAGCAGAACAGGGAACTCTTAGATAGTTTTCTTGTATGCTGAAGTGAAATTTTACTCTCCGGCAACAGCAAAATAAATCCATGTTTCTGTTGAGTTACTTGACCAGTGTGGTGGTGTGACCATGCTCTAGGAAGGCCTGTGTAAATGGCTGCTGCCCTAGGAAGATCCACACTCTAGGAAGGCCTGTGCATGCTTCTCAGAGCAGGCAATAGTGCAGTGTGTGAGTTTAAAGGCTGTTGCCCTGCTTTGGAGCAGTGGCACAGCAATTCCTATGCCAAGTGCTGTGTACAGTATTCCCCTTCCTGCCAGATATAGATCTCAAACATAACAGAATCTTTAAGTTAGTTTTACTTACAGTTTACGCTGAATCACATAAAATGTGACCAACTCAGAGGCACAGCATATTTCTTTGCATTTTTCATAATTTGCTTGTATTTTTTTCTCAGTGCCTACGTGATGTGACTTCACATTTGGTACGGTGATACCAATGGGGTTTTAGGGCAGAGAAATGGGGATGTGCTGGCATAAAACAAATCCAAAAAATGAAATCTTTGTAAGCAGATACATTCTTGCCATGCATTTCCTGTAATTACTATAGAAACCTACAATACTATACATGAGAAAGGAAGGTTGCTATACTGAAAAAACCCAAATGCTAGCCTGCCTGTTTTTAAATCTGCATATTCAAGTTCACTGACATCACTGAAAGGGCAGCAGTCCAAAATATAAATCACTTGAGCTCCAGTTGCCACCCCAAGCTGCCTGAAACCACAGTGCAGGTTTGAATAGCAGCGCTCTGTGCAGATCCACACCCGTCTACCTACAGCAGAATGAAATACTTGTTCAACTCCACCACGCTGTGCTCTGCTCCACTGGTGTGAAATGGCACAAAATGAGGTACAACATGTACTCTTATTCTAGAGAGCAGGTATAATCTCTGTAATTATACCACAACTGCACAGCAAATGTCGTGTAAATACAGAGCGACGGCATGTTCCTACAGCTTACTTGTTAATTATGCTGTGCTACTAACGAGTTCAAAGATAAATTATCATAGCACTTGCAGGATTTAGGTGCTTGCCAGGCTGGGCCATAATGGAATTCATACTATTAAAGGCTTGCTTTTGTTGATTTTCCAGTGGGATGGGGAATGGAAACGACTCACCTCTCATGCCCAAAGGCTTAAGTGTATATTTTGTCCTGGTACAGCAGAGGCAGCTACCATACAAAGTGACATGGCACAATTAGGAAATCTGGGCAATAAACCAAAAAAACCACAAAATTTATCTTAATAAATCACTTTTCAAATTCCATTTAATAATCATCCCAAGCAGATATTGTGTTTAAAATCACTGGTATTGCATGCAATAGAACTGATATGGGTTTCCTGGCCCAATATTTAATCTTGCAGAGGCTAAAAACAAGAGGAAAACGTCATTTCACCAGTGTCACTGGTAAAACTGTTGATTGCAGTGAGGGCAGGGCTCCACCCAGGCAGCTTGCCTGGAAATGCGCTCTTGAAATAGCTTATTTTATATGATATCAGAAATAGATCACCATGTCAGGCCAGCTCACAGCCCATGCTAGCTCTCCTCTGAGCTGCACTGCAGAATTCTGGACTACAACTTGTAACTTTTAATAGGTATTTTAATAGTATTCAATAAAATTAAATTAGCCTCTCTATAAACATTGCTCTTCCCCAAAGTCAAGCTTCTCTTTAAGTTACGACTCTGCAGTGGTTGTTTGGTTGGCCATTTATTCTGACTTTTACAACCTGTGTTGGATCACCTTGGGCTTTATTTGAAATTGTTTTTTTCAATTTCATTATTTTCATATTGATTTTCTACCTGAAAGGTGATGATGATGTTTCTGACCCTTTTTTTTCATACTGAAGTTGTTGAGCTATTTCTTCTGAAAAAACTACTCGTGTCTATTGCAAGGAAGATGTTGGTCTTCAGGGACTGAAGAATCAGTACAAGCAGAGACAAAACAGCCAACTATTATTTTGTGTAGCTTATAGAAAGCTGCAGCACGGAATAAAAACCCACTGAAATTGGCTGTGCATAAATGTGGATGAAAAGAGCAACCCCAGGGCAGGGAAGTGACAGCTGGGGACAAAGCAGCCCAACAGACAGGCAGGAGGAGGTGGAAGCAAAGAGCCGGCTGCGCTGGTCGTGCTCACCGTGTCTGTGCATGGGACAGGAAAACAAGGATCCACTCACGGCATCTTCAAGAGATTTAGGAGACAGCTTTGTGGGTGAAATGACTTCTTGGCTACGGAGGAAATTTTGGAATTACTGCCCGTGGGAGGGACAAGCAATTTCCTAGTGAAAGAGATGGATAGGGCAGGTGGGTCAAGGAGGGCACTGGGAAAGCAAAGAGCAGTTAACTTATTCGAAACGACAGAGAAGCAGGAAACAAAAGGAGGCTGAAGAGACTACTAAGGATAAAAGCCATAAATTAGATAAAATTATTTGACTTTATCATCCTAACTGCATTGGTCGAGCCCAGAAAGCAGGAATGTTATGGATGTGAGCCATAAGATCACCAGAGCCTGGTTCAAAGCTTTAGTTCTCAGTTAGGATAGAAAAGGACATATCTGAAATGCCATTTCTGTCATGGAGAAATAAGGGACAAATTTAAATCCAGTCAGTCCAGGCTGGCCCATGGTGTGATCGAGACAGCAGATGGGAATGAAAAAAAGCAGTCATCATACTGTTCACAGAAAGTGGGAAATAAACTGATGGCATGAGCTTGAAAGACTCTAAACCCCCCTGCTTTAGGACACTGACCTTGATCAGATAGCTACACCTTCATGGAGAAATGCCACGAGATTCTGGTTTGGATAGAAGACAAGTCTGTCCAGGAATGGCAGGAAAATCCATGTTTGTGGTAGAGGTTCCTTAATGGCCAAGTGTGGAGATAGCAGGGAAAGACAGCGGGAGAGCTATGGGGAGGCACAGAAGGGATGAGGATGTTTCAGTCTGTTTTGAAAGAGCAAACAGAAAGGACAGAGTGTGACATACAAAAGTAAGACTGTATTTTAGCAGGAGGATACCTGGCAATGCTCGGGGCAGAGTTTAAGGTTAAGGATGAGAGGAAGGGAAGGGACAAGAACTGGCTTAGGGGAGCCAAGCAGGACCCAGAATGGGATCAGGTCACTGTAGCTGTGTGTGACATGTTGGAGTATTTTATTATCCAGTGTGCTCTTAACTGTGAGGGTAACACTGGCAACAATTCCTAAACTAAAGCATATTCTGACTGAAGATCCTTGGATCTTTAGTGGGAAAGTAACATCAGATACAGAATGATTGTTGGTTTTAGGGGTTTATGTTTGTGTAATGTACATTGGCTTTAAAGAAAAGGGAGCTGTACATTTCCAGCACTGGGAACCAGGCAGAATAATTGAGGCTCCTTGGCCCAGCTGCAGCAGCTGATGGGATCCTTTGAAGATGGAGTCCTGGTTCACATGGAATCACCTTGTTTTCTTTCACTCATCTCACTCCCTTCTCAATCTACCCTGTATCCTGAAGAACTGTTTGTAAGTACTCCTAGAAAACAGACATCTGCCAAAGACAAAGTGAATGTAAATGATCTTTCTTCACTCTCAGGGTCTGATCTCGTTCTTCCTGAAATCTGCAGTGATTCCCACTGTCTTCGGTGGTACCAGGCCTGGTTCAACCAGCCCACATGTAAGCTTGAAATTCCCCTAATGAAAAAGGCTTAAGTGTACTGAATGGGGGAGATACTCATTAATAACTATTTAGGTTCCCTTGAAAGGCTAATTATCTTGAGAGCTACCCATTCAAAAAAGTCTAATCAATGGGAGAACAAATTAAAAATGAAGAATCTCTCATAAAACCAGACAGTGGAATACTGCATTCAAGAGGACATTCACCAATTAAAAGAAATGTCAACAACTCAAGTGGCAGGAACTTCAAAAGGGAATTTTTTTCCTCATTTTCATATGCATTCTTCATGAGCAACATCAAGAAGTGTAACATGCTAATAGCTAATAACACTCAGGATAAGATTCACTAATTTACTAACTGAATAACTTAATGCATATCAAAGGCATGATTTTCTCATTTCATTCTTATTTTAGATCTAACACTAAGCGGGGTATTATCAAGTAGATAAAACTGCACAGATTACAAGTCATTGCTGAAACAGTCATTTTAGAATTAAGATTGCTTTTTTTCCATTGGATGTCTCCTTTAGGTTTAAGGAATCACATACCTCTTACCCTCATTACAACTCAGATTTAAGGAAAAGAAATTAGGAAAGTGTCTTTGTGGAAATGTGATGTTTTTCTAAAAGCAGAGTGTTTTGCAGAGACACACTTGTTATGATGTTAAGCTCCAAAAATGTCCCAGGTAAGCCAGTACCACCGTGGCTGGGAGGTGACCTGAGGTTCAGAAGATAGAGCCCTGAGCTGAAGCAGGAATGGCATGTGGATGATTGGTGTGCCCTGGCTGTCCTGGCATGGAGGACTCTCCTGATCCTGTGAATGGTGAGAAGCTGGTGTGATGTCAATGAAGAACAAAAGACAAAAATGTTCAATTTTTTTTTTAATTATGAAAGAACTGTTGTATACTCCAAAATGACGCACTGGATGTTGAAAAATAGAACCATTTCTTGTTTAATGTGATTCTTAAAAGCCTATTTACAGAATTCTACTAAATTTAAACAACGTTTTGCCTTTGCTGCCATTGCAAGCTATGTAGCCCACTACCCTCTGCTCAAACCCTTTAAGAACAGGCCACCAGTTAAGGTACCAAACACAACTAAATTAATAGTTCACACGCTAGTGAACAGGAAGGAAACACCTCCTCAGCTGGCTTGTTTTCTCACAGCAAACTCCTCGCCAACAGGGCACAGCACTGCAGGGTGAGACACACAGACACACTCCTATCACCTTCCTCTCCTCACAGCCCAACAACAACCATCACGTGTCGTGATGCCCCTTTGCCAGGGAAGGCCAGGCTGTTGGAACCAATGGCTTTGTGGCAGATGGAGCAACATGTGCAACTGGGAAAAAAACAATCTCATGCTGCCAAAATATTAATAAGGGGCTTTCTCGGAAATATTCTGCCACTGTCACTGTTACATTTAAATTTGCCATGTCAATATGGCTTCTTCCAAGGAAAAAGGCTTGGTTCAGTAGGCTTTCTGAGGACAGGGACCTCTCTGCACCTATTTTTTTCTCTCCTGCCAAACCATTTGCTTCCAGTCACAAATTTTCAGCGCTGCAGCACCATGTGGGTGCTACTTGTGGTGTCTCTGATGAGAGACAGGAGCGAGCAGGGCTGGTTTGGGCAGGCTGGGCCATGATCCCTACTCACCTGAGGTGGGCAGGGACAGGCTTGGCAGTAAGGACACATAGTGAAATCCAACAGGGAATGGTTTCTTTGGGCTTGTTTGGGGTTTTTTGCACACTGTATCTCCCTCTGTGAATGCTCATTTTCCTTACACAGTGAGAAAAACCATGAGAATTTCATCTTCTTCTTTTATACCACCAGTATTTTCCATAGCCTTATAACTGTCTTTTATTAATTTTCTTTTAAAAACAAACACTCACAATCCTTTCAAATTCTGCATCTATACAACATCAAAGCATTTCAGTGGATTTTTCAGTCCATTTATATGCCATCTGCCTGGCAGTCAGCAGTGTGGTGGTGGCACTGCAAGCAGTAAAGATGTCCCACATCTCTGCAGTTCTCCTTGTGGTAATTACTGATTCCTGGGGAAACTGAGCCTCAAACACCAAAAAAACTTTCTGTGATGTCCCACTGTTTTGCAGAGGGCACTGGGAACAGTGTGTTTTTAGTTTAAAGAGACAGCCATTGTCACTCCACTGAGGAGGAGCTTAGACTTGTTTTTGACTTCACACTTTTCCACACATTGTGACAAAAAGCTGAATAATTCTATTTTCCTTTAGGATATTACAAGAGAAAGAACTGGTCTGATACATTTCAGATTAGAGATTCTTCCCTGAGAACAGGGCCTGTTGCCTCATGGTACCACACCAGAAATAATCTCCTTTCCCCCAATACTGTTAGCTGGGGCAATGTATTTTCCAGAATTGCTGAACTAAATGGAGAGTTCTCCAACATAGTGCTTCTGGGCATTCAGATTACTCTCCCTCTGCCAGTACTGGGATTAAGAAGTCGTGAAGGTAATTTGCATCATAGGGATATTATAATGATTGTTCTGAAATGGAAAAATATCACACATCTGTGTTTGCATTCTCCAGCCTGAGACATACCTTTAGGAAGTCAGTTTCTGATGACATGTTTGGGCAAACGATGCCTTATCTGCATGCTTTTCTTCATGTATCATCCTGATCTGGGAACCTGGATGCCATAACCAGAAAGCTATGTTAATTGTACAGGTTTTTAAATCAGTGTAGTCCAAAACATGTTCCTCAAGACTATCAGCCTGACAAAGTCTGCTCAGGAAGCTGGAGATGTTCTGTATCTGTTGGAGGAATCACATAGAGTGTTTGTAATAAGAACCTCCTTGGCCTTATGGGTATTACGTATTTCTGTTTCCTAAAAATAAAAACCACCAAGTGTATGAACTGGTACTGTAAACACAAGCACAAGTAAATGAATTCTTCTGTTTCTGGACTCCTCCTCCCCCTCGATTTGGGCAGTCAGCAAAAATACTTCTTCAGTATTGAGTTACAGTAAAGAGTTGTTGACCCTGGTGTAATTGAGAGAAAAGACAAAGTCAGGTCAATGGGGTTTGCTTCAGCTTGTGACATTGCAAATAAAGCTTCTAAATTTGTTTGGATCATTAAAGTGAAAGCATAGAGAAAACATGTGTTACAAGAATACACGCTTCACCCTAAAGTAATTTTTATGGAAATGCTCACAGTCAGTTAGTGTTATTTGCTTCTAATTTGGGCTTCATTCTCCATACTCTACGTTAACAAACTTAGACCACTTAATGCCAAGTGCCTTACACATTTCTCTTCAATTAAATTTCTCCAAAGAATCACATTACATGAGCATTTGCCAGTACAAAAAGCACACTCAGAAATCCTGGGTAAAATCCAGGCTCTCTTGCAGTAACCAGTAAAATTCTCATTGAAGACTGAGTTCTGCCCTACAGATCTTTGCTACATATGGGAAATAAAAAATTATCTTGTCACTTATGCTCTAAGTTCTTCAGTACACTGTTCTAAGAGCTTAGCTCTGAGTGAGCTCCATGTTAGCACTTACCAATTCCCTTACCAGATGAAAACAAGGTTACTCCAGAATCAAACCATGTCTGGTTTCAAGTATGTTTGTAATTGTTGGAATATGCAGCAGATGCCAGTTTAGACAAGCTTCCAACCTGTGGATGGAGGTAGGCACTCAGTTTAACAATCTGCAGTTTTACTAGAGTTTGAGCACAGGATTGCCTGCACTGGGCTCTAGGAGAGACATAAACCATTAGGGCTTAACTGTTCAGTAATAAATTATAGGTGAATAGAACATGACAGTGGGATGAAAATTAAGATTTTAAACAATCTTTATGATAGAAGACAAGGTGTAACAATTTACCTGTATTTAATTCTGATTAATTCTCATCTGTGTGAGATGTTGAAGTGGGCTAGTTCTGCCATTCTTCCTCTGACACAGGTTTTTTGCGCCGTTTTCTCTTCCATAACTGAAACATGCAGAGCTCTGGGGTTTGATGTTCGAGAAAAAAATAAATCAGGGCTGCTCTAGGCTGACACTGGTCAGCAAGGGCAAGAGGAGGAGGGTTTGAGCTGGTGCCCCTTCCTGTCACAGCTCTGCAGGACGTCGCTGTCCTGCAGCTGAGGAAGGGCAGAGGTTGGCTGAGGGCTCACCTTCAGTGCAAAGTTACTTTCCTAACAGGTATTTTTTTTGCAGCCACTAAGATGTTACCTAGTTACCAGCAAATCACAGCCTGGTAACTGCTCGGAGAATCTGGGGTTTATTTATGACAAAGTGACCCTGGATAAGCCAGGCTGGGGACATTTGGTCTGCCCAACAACAGGGTGAGACTCACACAAAATTTATTTGAAGTGTTAAGGGGAAAACTGCAGTATGAAACTAATTACGATTAGTCTTGACAACACTAATTCTATTTAAAATCTGTTGAACTGGTTTAAAATTAAACTTCGGGTTCCCTCCAGCTGAAACCCAGCCTGACGCTGTCGAAGCCTGCGTCGTCCATCCCATGCAGGATTTTCTCATCTGGGAGGAAGATTGCTATTAATAGACCAGAAGTGGGGTATAAAAAAAAAAAAAAAGGAAACAGTGAGATTACCCAATTCTGCAAATGTTTGTTTATTCGCTTGCTTCAGTTTTGCCCGAAGTTTAGTTTCCTGACAGGGCTTAATCCTCCCCTTCTGTGGCTCTGGACCATCCATCCCTCCTGTCTCCCCCAGTGCTGGCTAAGCGGGGTTGCTAAGCGACATGTTCTTCTCCTCTGTACTTTAGCAGAGAGGAACAGATCAAAGACACCCACAGTCCTGAATTATTTTATAAATGAATTTAAAGAGACACTCTCCTGTGCAGCATTATGTGGGGGGAGAACAAAAGTTACTGGCTATACTGAGAGTATGTGGAGAATTAAACTGATGTCTTCTGGAAAATAAGAATGCTCTCAAATGAGAGCTGTGTAGTATTTACCTTTTTTTTTTTCTTTTTTAGAGCTAGACTACAAATTTTTTCTGTTAATTAATGTTTCTAGTTTTCTAGTTTCATGGCAGTCAAGACATTGAACGCAGGCCAGGCTGCATGTGTGTACAATGTTCAGAAGTCAGAGTTTCTGTCATTCAGTGACAAGCTTGCAGGGTTTTAAACCTTTTCATCTCTTGCAAAAGAGTTACCATTATTGAAAAATACTTAATTCTTTAATTTTTAAATATTTTCCTGATTGATGTCAGGCAAGAAAGTCACAGGGTGAAGTTCAAGTGATGTATCTTTAAAAGAATAAATGAAGATGAGGAAGTAATCTGTGTAGATCAGGCAGAAAACATACGACACCAACATCTCAGACCTTGCTGAAAGAATGAAAACCAAATGAATAACCTGTAATGACAAAACCTGGGAATACACAAGTTTAAACATTACCTCTTACGAGACAAGCACTTTCCTGGCATGAGTTCAGCTCTGGTGCTCTGTGCAGGCTGGGAGGTTTGTAGGAGCATGCTGGCAGCCGAGGCAGGCGTTTGCTGAAACAGAAAAGGGCAGAATTATGTGCCCTCGGATTGACTCGGTTTCAAATACCATCAATGTCGTAAAAGGAAAAAACCAGCACTTGGTAACAAAGTGCAAGAATTTTTCAGGACTTTCATTTCCAAAGATGCCATGGTTGGCACAGCCTTCAGAAGAAGGAGAGGCACACAAAACCCACGCTTGAAGCATTATCCAGGCAAGCAGGACAGAGCGTTTAGGTAGCAAGCAAAACTCCCGGGTCAGATGGCTGCAAAAAAATTGGATGCAGAACTCTTCCCATGTGCAAATCTCATTGTTCCATACCAGTCACTTGAGCAGCATGAACAAACCACAGAATCACAGAATATGCTGAGTTGGAAGGGACCCACAAGGACCATCGAGTCTGATTCCTGGCCCTGCACAGGCCCATCCCCAACAGTCACCCCCTGTGCCCCAGAGGATCATCCAAACCCTCCTGGAGCTCTGGCAGCCTTGGGGCTGTGCCCACTGCCCTGGGGAGCCTGGGCAGTGCCCAACCAGCCTCTGGGGGAAGAACCTTTGCCTGAGATCCAACCTAACCCTGCCCTGACACAACTTCAGGCCATTCCCTCTCGAGGAGGGGAAGAGGAGGAGTAGACATTGATCTCTTCTCTGGGGACCAGTGACAGGATCCAAGGGAATGGAAGGTGGGAGGTGTATGGAGAGGATCTCACTCTTCCCTGTGTGTCTGATCACAGAATGGAGGGATCCCCTCGCTCTTGCCCTAGGCCAGTGACCTCACATCAAATTGAGGGTAGATTAGTGAAACCTAATACTCTCTAGGACTATAAAGAGATTACTCTCACATAAATCTTCACTGAAAAAAATAAATCAGCATTAGTATTTATTTACATGCATTTTATTTTTCAATGAGAAAACAAGCCTCCCTTTTTTTCCTGCGTCAATAAAAGTCTCTTCAAAATTCTGATTGCTTAGATTTGGCATGTAAAATCCACTGTACTACAGGTAACTTAAGCATGTATTTTAGAACAGAGCTCTGCCAGCTTTTCCATTTCTAGATATCAATTACACAGGCAAGATATGTGCTTTACTCTCACTGACAGAGTGTTTTATGTATAAACATCTTGACCAGCACTATGTTGTCAGTGCATAGCAGATTCAGTGTGTTTTGGCTGAGTTTCTGAAGGGGAAAACTGTGATTTGCACTCTAAATATTTTTTCTGGAGAATGGATTCCTCAACGCACTATGAGCATCTTGTACAGAATATAAGTAAACATTTGGGAAGGAATTTCATGCTTATGGCAGGTACTGACTTGCCAGCCTTGAAACTGAGCTCCCTGGGACCCAGGGCACGAGCACAGCTCTGGATCTCTGAGCTCCATAGGCCAACTGAGTTCCCACCACTCCTACTGCACTGGTGAGGGAAGAACTACTGAATCCTAGAATGGATTGGTTTGGAAGGGACCTTAAAAATCAGCTAGGACCATCTCCCTGTCATGGGCAGGGACACCTTCCACTAGCCCAGGTTTCTCCAAGCCCTGTCCAACCTGGCCTGGAACACTTGCAGGGATGGGGCAGCCACAGCTTCTCTGGGCAACCTGTCCCAGGGCCTCCCCACCCTCACAGCCAAGAATTTCTTCCTAATATCTAACCTAAACCTGCTCTCTGTCAGTTTGAAGCCATTCCCCCCTTGTCCTGTCATCCCAGGCCCTTATAAATAGTCTTTCTCCATCTTTCTTGTTGGCTCCCTTCAGGTACTGGAAGGCCACAATTAGGTCACTCTGAAGCTTTCTGTTCTCCAGGCTGAACAATCCCAATTCTCTCACCTTTCCTCAAAGCAGAGCTGCTCCATCCCTCTGATCATCTTGGTGGCCTCCTCTGGACTGGCTCCAACAGGTCCATGTTCTTCCTGTGCAGGACACACAGCAGGACCTGCATTTCTGGCAAGTTTATTCAAACATCCTGAGCATGCTGTGTTTGGGAATGCAGTTTGATCAAGCTGGTACTTTACCTCAAAGGTAAAATGTTCTGAAGTGGTGGTGGTGTAAAAGTTTGAGTTAATTTGTATTAATATTGGTAGAATTTTGGTTAATAAATGTAAGTAATTTGGAATTGCTGCTCCTCTTTCCTAATTTCCAGAATGCTGCAAGAGCCCCTGCTGCAGCTGGGCAGCTGGATCCCCAATCCAGGTCAAGGTTTGGGTCTAGGAATAGGAGATGATGCTTTTGATATGTGTGAGGGCAGTGAAGGCCTTTGAGAACATTAATAACATTACTTCACATTTCTACAGTACTTTCCCTGCGCCTGCTTAAAGCTCAACATAGACTATAAGTAATTAGTGATCTGGATGTCTCTGAAATGATCATCATCAGCATTTAAATTATCACTAAAATACAATTAGCAGCCCTTTGAACGGAATGCTGTCATTCCAAGCAGTCTAATTGGTGGCTCGTGGGCCAGTTCTGGGCAACAGGAGGATTGTTTGCTTCTCCTCTCCTCTAACTGCACCAGCTCAAGGAGCACCCTGTCACAGGAGTGGCAGCCGTGCCCATGGGATGGACATGGAGAGCCATTATGTGACAGGAAAGGTACAAAGTATCACTTGTGTCCAGCCCACTGCTTTGAGAAGTCTGGATTTGGTGGACCTCGTTTCAGCCTGTGTGCTGATTCAAGCAGGCACAGCCCCACAACTTTACACTTTGCAACTCAAATCCATTTATTTTTTTTATACTTGGATTTTAGACTGTGCAGCAAGAGCCGCAGGGATGAAAAAAGGGCAGTTCATGATAAGACAAACAACTGAGCAATCCACATCTCTGGGTGATGTGCTGGCAGACCAGGCTGGCGTGTGTTTGGGCAAGAGGAAGAATTCAGTTGCTGTAGCAGACTGATAGTAAAGGTCTGGTTTGCATGGTGTTCCCAAACCTGGCATCCCTACTGCACATTTAGGTAGCTAAATCTGTCACTTCCATGCCTGAGATGCTTGTGTTAATTGCATAAAGGTCAACAAAAATGACATGGTTTTAAGGTGTTGGAAGTGTAAACAGCTGCTCTTCTGAAATGGCCACAGTTGATGTATTTTAGTGCAGATGTGCTCTCATGATACCACTTGCAAATGCATCTTATCTGTTATAGTATCTAGCTGCAGTATTCTATTAGTATCTCTGTTGTAGTAACTAGCTGTAGTACTCTATTAGTATCTGTTTGTAATACTACTGATGCTCCTGCAAAAAGCACTGTAGAATGTACTTTAAATACTGGCTTTTTGTACCTCTCACACAACTATGCATCCCTCCACGGGAACAGCACGCTACTGTTCCAGGTTTTCGAAGAACCAGTGCTACTGCTCCCCACCAGCTCCCGTTGTCTGCTTCATAATGCCCTTATTATTTATGCTTTTTCTCTTGAAAATTCAAGTTTAGAACTGAAAATTTTCACGCTTTTGTTTCTTACAGCTAATCAAAGGCAGCGAGTGGCCCTGATGTAATCTGTGTGGTGTGTGCCGCAGCTGAGCATCCACTGCTGTGAAAGCACTGCTTGTTCTCTGAAAGGAGGAATTCTTTCAGCCGTCACGGCCCCCTCCTCTGCCTGCCTGCTTTTCCCAGGCACTCCGAGCACTCGCTCCCAGTCTTTTTCTTGCCCTAAAAGTGTTCTGGAGCAACACAGTCATTTACCCCACAGTTGCCCAAGGCTGAACTCCTGACGGCTTGGCCTCTATGGATGATCAAAAGTTTCAAGTTTGAGCGTAGCAGTGGCTCTACTAAGGTGTGACATCTTTTTAATCATCTTTTCTTTGGATTGGTAGTCCAATAGTAGCCCACTCATCTCCACGTGGGCACCACAGCAGGCTATCAGAGTTCCTTTCTCTTCCTCTGCTGTTCATGTAGTAAGTGACGTGCTTTCACGTATGTCCTGTCTACAAAAGATGTCAGTGTTGGCCTGGCAATGTTTTACTATGATTTGAGTGACCTAAAGAAATTACTTGGAAAGCAGCAGATGCCTTCAGAAAAGAGGGAAAGAGGAAAAAAAAATAGACTCAAAGAGGAGAAGAGGAGAAAAAGGAGGCTCAGGGGAGACCTTATTGCTCTCTACAACTATCTGAAAGGAAGTGGGTGTCGGGCTCTTCTTCCAGGTAACAAGCAATAGGTCAAGGGGAAATGGCCTCAAGTTGGGCCAAGGATGCTCTGAGTTGGATGTAAGGAAAAATTTCGTCACCAAAAGAGTGGTTAAGCTTTGGAACATGTTCTCCAGGGAAGTGGTGGAGTCACCATCGCTGGAAGTGTTTTAAAGAAACCAATGCAGATGTGGCACCTGGCATGTGATTTAGTGGCCTTGGTGGGATTTGGCTGAAGGTTGGACTTGGTGATTTTGAAGGTCTTTTCCAACCTTAGTGATTCTATGATATTAATAAGTCAACTGGCCCAAGGAAATAGAAGTGCAACTCAGCAATGGTTGCCAACAAGCAGTATTTAAAAGCCACCCAGGAAGATAATGCAGCTCCTCATGATCCTGCTCCTGTGGTGTTCCATCTTCTCTCCCTCTCTCTGCATTCCCCATTCCATATAAGAAATGTGCATTGCTGCCCAGTTCATTCAAATACAAGGCTCCCTAAATTAGCTTTTTTCAAGCACATAAAATATGTATTGTCTCAGGAGGAACAAGAGACCAGAAACTCAAAAATGTGCCGTGGGGTTTGTCACAGCCACAGCTCAGAACACGTGCTCCAGGCCAGTTGATCACTAGTGTTTCACACAGGTAATTGTTAACAACACCCAGATAACTGTCTGTGGGATAATGGGCAACACACCAAAACCAGGCTATGAGCCATAACAGGAGAAAGTATTACAAGATGCTCACAGCCAAATTAAGATGTCAAAAGAAATTCCCAACTAATATGAAGACAGTGAGAAAAGAGTCTTTGTTCCAGCACTGGTGCCTTTGCTTTGCTCCTGCCCCCATGCTGGTCATTTGGATCAACTTCCTTTAAGGGAAGTGTACAGAAAACACATGGAATAT